ATAGCCATACCTTGACAGTTGGCTCATTCAAGGATGATCACGGTAGCAGGTGAACAATTCCATTCCCTAAACCTACAACTTTTCACCACACCACTTTGTTAGGATCAACAAAGAAAAGTCATTGCTGTTACCAACACAGAGAATAGTTTTCATTAGGGCAGTGCTAGATTCCACATCATCAAGGGCTTATCTGCCACAGGAGAGTTTCAAGACCTTAACAGATCTCATCAGTCAGCTGCAGGCTCACCCACAAACATCAGATGTCACTGCTTGCTGGTGACCAGCAAGTGGAATCTGTGGACAATCAATCAGAGATCAGTTACTAACTTTACAATAGCTGTAGTTCTTCAAGATGTGTAGGCCACATGGGTTCCATGACCTACCCTTCTTCCCTGCTTCACTGGATAGTGTATTGGCAAAGGAGCTGATGGACAGCTGAGCTCTCTCTGCCCATTAGTTCCTTGAGTGTCAGAGCATAGGTCATCCAGGGCATAGGAACAGCCTAACTGGCACTTCTGACTAAGAATCCAATCTTGTGTGCATGAACACGTGTGCACTAGAAGGGGAATCCATGTGGACCATACATCTTGTAGAGCCACAATTAGAGTAAGATAAGTAAGTAACTGAGTTTTTTTAATTGTATCCAGTGTCCTAAGAACTCTCATTCAAGTTGATTTAAACCCTGAGAGTTCAGATCTGAAGTTTGAAAGGAGGGCAAAGCAAGTTATTTTCATATTACACTGACAGTGTATGCTTAAATATACAAAATGACATGCTTCAACAGAGAAGCAAGAAATGGAGCATTAGAAATAATTGTTCCCATTTATAGCAGAGGTCTGTGATTGTAGGAGCTATACAATGGGAGTATAGTGCGGCAAACCACTGCAGCCATCACTCTGAATTTATCTCCTAGTGGCATTCATCTGCTGATATTTGTTTGAATTTTATACCAGCTTTTTAAAAATTGAAAAAATATCCCTTGATTCAATTGCATTTGAACTGCTTTTGTAATGTTGCTGTCTGGTTTATAGCCATTTATATGTAAGGGGCACTTTCATTTTGTAAAGTAGCAGCATTTGTTTACATCCTTCTGCTTCTCTGTCATACAGACTTGATAGTGTTAACATTATTTCAGTACACTTGTTATTATGTGACGCACCTCTAATAACAATGTATAAAGTCTGTGGTTATTTCTGCCCAGTTGATAGAACAGTTTTTTGAGTCTTTTGTGGGGAAATTAGAATTTGTGAAGGGTGCTGAATTGGCCGCCCTAGGGTGAAATCCTATGGCTGTTCAACAGTGCAATATGACCAGTGGCAATGTAAGCTACATTCCAGTTACACTACCATGGTGGCTTATTCCCAATCTGGAGGGCCAACTTTCAGGGGTAAGGAAACACTTCCCTCACCAAGACCCATGGTCTCTGCTGACACTGCAACAAGCCCAGTACATGTAGTGTGTGTGACGGGGATATCTGTCGACAGGGAATTGGACTGAAGCCAGTCATTTCACATAGGCTACCAACCAGAGCGCAGGAGTCAAGCCAGCAACCTGTCACTGAAAAAGCTTTCTTCTTTTACCAATCCCCTGAACCATCTAGTCCCCCATGATCCTAGCGTTACTGTGCAAACCCCATTTTTATCCAAGGGAATTTTCAGTACCATTTCTACTGGATGTGTAGTAGATGTACATTTAATATTACAAATGAATATACATCAACAGGTATATCCTGTCAGCAGTGAACAAGACTATTAAAATGCAAATCTAATTACACACAGTTGAATTTTCTGTGGGTTTGCATACTGTTTATACTACCCCAGTACATGACAGGGAACATGATGCAGGTTATAAAAAGTAAGTGCTTAGCAGGTATTTTTGAAATAATTCAGCTGTTTTTTTTAATTGACATGATTAGTACGCTAAACAAACCATATGAATCAGGCAACTCAACATTCTTCAGCATAGTTCAGATCAGAAGCATCTGAAAATTTTTAAATTTTCATTTAAAAAAAATATTTTCTGTCTGCTGCCAAGCTGTAGGCCAAATCTCAGTACAATGTGATTTTAAAGCTGCCAAGCTTTGGCTCCCTGTGAGATGTTTATAATAAAAATATCAGAAATCCCTTAACTTGGGCAATGCTATCTGACTAGCACTGTAAGAAAGACTTAATATAACCCAGTGTTGCTCATACCCCAGACCTACTGCTCAGACTTTGAATTTGTACATATACACACCTGTTCTTCTTCTTTTCCAGGGAAATTTCTGGCCCATGACAGGAGGAGAGTATAATCCTTAGTTTACATATCAAATCATGACTGAATCATTTGATTAAACTTCAATTTGCATCAGTTGTGCACTGTCCTATATAGCACCTACCTATATGCCTGATGATCCCAGTCTTACTGTCCAAACCCCATTTTCTAGCTGGGGCACTAAAACTGAGCAATATTCCATGCCACAGTTCTACAGCCGATCTCTGTAATACTCCTGGTATCAATACAATTACTTAAAACAGAGTAGGCTGAATTAGAGAAAGAAATAGTGTAATGGTGGGAGGATGGTGTTGCTGAAAGTATGACAGACCTTCGGCCTAAATAAGAACTGTTTTGTGTTCAAAAGGCCTTTATGTATATTCCAGTACCATCTAGAAGCCCCAGTGTGCTACCTTCACATGGAAGGACACAGTTCCTGAAAAGCTTACAATCTAAATAGACTAGACAGAGTTAAGTATTGTCCCCATTTTACAGATGGGGAACTGAGGCACAAACAAATGGATTGACTTTCCCAGCAAAGCCAGACACTGAACCCAGATCTTCTGAGTCTTAGTCCAGTGGCTTAACCTGAAGACCATCCTTATTCCACTAAAATATCCTTTTATTCAAACCCAACAAAAAAAAAGTCCATTTTGTACTACAGTGGAATTAGGTTTCCACTGTAACCCATCAAAATTTAGAGGCTGATTCGGGGCAAACAGTTTTTTAGGCATTGTGATTCAGTTCATGCACAAGGGAAATTTGAAAGAGGAAGTAACTTTAAATGATTGAAGGACAAGAGGCTGCATATTGCTTCAGTTAAGGGCAGAAGAGCATGGTACTACCGTGCATAGATGTTAACTCTGAATACGTACTCACTAATAGAGATAAATCTGAAACAGCACTTAGATATTAGCATTCCCCTCCAAAACTCATAAGATATGAGCCTTGTATGCAGGGATTAGGATACTTGTGTGTGCACTGTTTAAATCACACTGGTCATAAAGTTTTTATTTTTTAATTGAAAATCTGTGGATACTTAAGATAACACAAGTGCAGATGTGCATTCCTACACCTGTACTCAAAGACGTCTTCCTGTTTAGAAAACAAGGATTTATTGGACTCGGTGAATAGTTTATATGCCTACATATGCCCTTTAGGGTGTGGTGAAAGCACAATAGAATAAAACATTCCAGCAAGTTTCCAGAGGCCTGATTAGCTAATTTCTTCTCTTTTAAGCTTGGAGGTAGATTTAACAAACACACACCAAATACAGGAAATAGTTTTTGTTATAAACAATAGTTTCACAAGTCACAATTTTTCTATTTGATTTTGATAATTTAGTATATGCAGCTTGTGTATATTTTTATGTATATATAGTATAGCATGACAGTTCAGTACCTGGATACAGTCTTTATACAAAAAGAACAGGAGTACTTGTGGCACCTTAGAGACTAACAAATTTATTTGAGCATAAGCTTTCGTGGGCTAATTTGTTAGTCTCTAAGGTGCCACAAGTACTCCTGATACAGACTAACATGGCTGCTACTCTGAAACCAGTCTTTATACCTCTTCTCAGTTCTTAATGAAAATATCAGATGCTGAAAAAGTTTTTTCATATTTCACACAACTGCATCAAGTCTGTCTCTAGATAGTCATCTATCTAGAGTTTGAGACATCTGTGAACAGTAAGTTATAAATAAGTTATAAATATTTTTGAAATAAGTAATTTCCTACAGATTCCTTACCAGAATGGAAGTGTTTAAACTTTTACTGCAGAATACTCACAGCTAAGGGTGGTTATTCTGTGAGATGCTGTATTTCTGAACACTACCTGTAAAAAGTGTTAAAACACCCCTATAATCTGTCTTGGAAACTCAGAATTTCACCTCCCCTGCAGGGTTTTTTTATAAACTAACTCAGTGTTATTCATTAGAGTTCACCCTGCAGGTCATATGGAATTTTAAGTTGCCAGAACTGTATACATGTAAATTGCCGTTAAATTTCTTTGTTTTTACTGCTTAATTAAGCCGTATAAAACTCTTTGATTCCCCTCCTCCTTCTCTCCCTTATAATATTTATATTAAGGGGCTTTTGACTGGGAGGTATGACTCAGCTCTGCAGGTGGAATACAAATGAACTCATTATATGACGGCAATACTAAAAGATGGTAATGTAAATGTTGCTCTGCTTGCTGTTAGTGTTTGACATTTTACACAGAAGACCAGAAGTGAAGGGAAGGAGGCTGTTATGAAATGGAGCTAAGATTGAAATAGTAGACTCCTCTTGACTGTCTCATATATCTAAGAAGCCTGTGGCCCTGCTAGTGTAATTTGATTGGCTCGACATTTGCAATGTTAATTTTGCTCAGTTCAGCTTGATTAGAGTGTATGGAGAGGTGTGAGCAATTGTAGATGATTGGAAGGTGACCTCTGCTGGAGAGTTCTGGTAAGGTTTGTGTTGAAGATGCTCTTTCTCTGGTAATTACCATTCAGTAAAGGCCTGCTGCTTCTAGCTTCACCTGCAGTAATTCTTATTTCTCTGACCTTCTTTTTCTGCAACTTTGTTATTCTAAGTATAAAGAATGTGTCTCATTTTTTTCTGTCATTAAAATTCTTAAATGCCTCCTTGGTGACCACTTTAACTGAGGGACAAACCTGCCTTTAAAATATTAAATTACAAGATAAATGGAACTGAGAATCTTACCCTCAGGAAAGTAATGTTGTGTCCCCTTCATTTCCCATCAGGAATTGACAAGGAGAATGTCGAACTCTCCCCCACCACTGGACACTCCAACAGCGGGAGGACACGCCATGGGTCCGCAAGTCAAGTGCAAAAGCAGCGAAGCGCTGGCAGTTTCAAACGTCACAGCTCTAAAAAGATTGTGTGAAGCTTTTTTTTTTTTAAAAAACTGACTTATGTACATGGGCTTCACTAGTGGCCCTCCACCAGTTGTGATGCTGCACTTAATTCTTAACGTTCCCATCCCACCAGCCATGTTGCCAGATGATCAACTCTTAAAACATTGCCTGAATTTTAATGCCTTCTTTTCTTTTCTTCTGTTTTTTGGTTTAAGCCAGTATTTCAGAACCATTCAACGGAACCATTTGTAGATCCTGAAGAACTTCGTAGATGAATGAAGTACGGAATTCTTTAACAGTGCAGTACAGTAGCTGTCCAAATATGAAAGCCATTTCTCATAGACCGTTTTACCTTGCTTCTGTTATATGCCTTGTTTGTTTCTTCTTTAAAGGAAAGTGTTAATGTTTAATCCTGTTTTGCACACTTTTCAAGTTAATGGCTTTATGAGCCGGGGAAGTACTATAATCCTTGTTAATTCAAACCCTTCAGATTTTTAGCTGTGGACTTTTTTTTACCATACTTAAAAGCAACCTTGAAATTAGCCACAGTGCAGTAAACCTAACCAGAGGTGGTTGATAAATTAAATCTTTAGTAATTAGCAATAAATTTAAGAGGAGGAGGAGGAGGCCACTTGTCTCTTCATTTGCCAGAAAGTAGCTTCATATATTTGGAACTGTGTATGGACCAGACTGGACAAACTGACTTTTTCCAAAGCAAATTTTATTTTTTGGTGAACTTTGACTGCACTAAAAGAAATGGATGTATAGAGGAAAGCAAATCATCAAGAACTGACTATTAATTATGCTCTCTTAGCCGCTGCTTGGAAAATTTATTACTTTTTTTGTTACCACATATCCTATGTTACTTTTGCCCTTTCCACCAATTTTATGCACCTTCAAGAAATTCCTGGCAGAATAACTATTTGGGAAAGTTGTATGAAGTAACTTTCAACTCACTCAGAATTTTGTTTAGCAAAGCTGCTTGTGTGCTGCCCAAGCAATGATACAAAATCATTAATGTTCACTTCAATGCAAAATGGTACATGAATTTAAAAATAACTGACATTTTTGTCAAAGACAGGTTTCCTATGAATGTTTGCAATGCAATTTCTGCTATCAGCGTAGACATTTCTCTCAAATTTGTCTAGCAGAATTTTCAATTTTTTTTTAAACTTGCAAAAATTGTGTTTGGGGTTTATAAGAAGTAAACTGAAATTGCTTTCTATCACTGTGAAAGATTCATCAACTTACAGTAGTATATTAACAATGGATGACTGTGATAATATGCTGCTATGTTGAATGATATGTAATGAAGTAGCACTACGTGCTGCAAATACTATATGGACTAAAAATGTGCGTAACATTTTGATCTCAGAGGTAAATATAAATTCTGACAATAGAGGGCATGTCATCTGGGTGCTCATTTTAGGGCTAAATATATCTACTGTTAATGCCAGGTGGTCCCTGTTGTATGTTAGGATTTAGCAATTTATGAATGGCTTGAAAGAAAAAAAGTATATAGTATTTAAAAAAATAAACAAAAAAACCCCTCCCATAGTGCGATTTCAGTAGTGGCTTTCAGTAAATCAAACTCCACAGCTAAATTAATAGAGAATGGTACAACTAAGTGTTCAAATTTTATTGATATAGCACATTATTCACATTTATTCACACAGTAACAGTGTAACATGTTTATGTAAATAAAAATTTGCCTTTATTGTATTGATTCAGAAAATAACAATTTAATTTTTTTAATTTGTTTACAGTCCTGGAAAAACTATGAACACAAACTTAATATGCAAATAGTTTGCCAAAATAAGAGGAAAACTTAGAATTAGTAGTTATCTTGAAATAGATATGTTGGAAAATATTGAAGACTTGTGCAATTAACCAAACTTTTTTTATTCTTGATCATGTAGGAGCTGCAGTAGAAACTTAATTATTAAAATTCTACAAAAGCTATGTATGAAATGGGTTATGAGGATAGAACTGAATTTAGGAATAGAGCAATGACCAATGCCAGGTACTAAGCTGCTATGCATTCATAACCTTGGATATCACAGATAAAATCTCTTCCATCTAGCACATCCAATTGTGTAGTAGTCAGTTTCAAAATCTGTCAGTTTAAAACCTTGATCATATTGAATCAAGCTAATTCTAGCCCTGTCAGTTTTCTCAGTGTTCAGTTTTATTAAAGATAATGAATCCTAAACAAAACTCACTAATATGTTTTTTCTCACCATAAGGCGGGGAAATCTTTTTAAGGTAATATGCTGTTAGAAAATAGAAGCTTTTAGCTCTTTCAGTTTCCCTGGTGAGCTAATTTTCAAAAATATTGCATTTTTCGTGTTTATTACCGAATCAGTTTGGGTTGGGTTGAGTATATTTAAAACTACCTTTTCCAGAGTTCTGAGATTGCCTGAAGAAATTGGAATTCATAAAAACTATGTGCATTTGAAATGTGTATGTTGTGAAATCAAAATACAGTGATCAAAATTATCCTTCGTGTGAGAACCGCAGGAGTCACTCAATACCCGCTTGACGCAAACTGATTCCATGTAAAATAGGCAATAAAAAGTAACTCACCTTAGTAAAATGTCCTTGGGTGGGAGGGATTGTCTTAACATTTCTACCATTAAGTTGGGTCAGAAGATCTGAACCGTCTAGAGCAGGGGTGCCAAACTCATTTGGAGGAGAAGGCTGTATTCTATGGTTTATTCTAGTCTGTGGGCCAGCGTATAAATTCAGGACCATATATATACTCCCCACATTGTACAGTGGAACAGCCACCAATGTTGGTCGGAGGGTTGCAAAGAGATCAAGGGAAGAACATGGTCTTTATATAGCGACTAACCATCTAGTGATAAGTTATTTGTTCAGTGCCTTATCGTCACATTCTTCACTCAGAAAATCTGCTCCCCAGTAGACCCACTGCTATTTGTCTTTTTCTTTCTCATCTTCTTTCTTAATTCCTTATTCTCCTTTCTTGTTTTTTTCCCTCCTTTCCTTGTCTGAGTCTTCTGCCCTTTTCTCTGCCTTTCTTTCCCTACGGCAACTGCCACTTCCCAATACAGTGTGCTTCACTCCCTCCCCCTGGCACCTATTCCTTTTACTAAAATGGTCAGTGATTAAATAGTTAATATTGAGCCTGAAGTATCACCACTGGGCTTTTGGTACTCCAGTCCGATTAACAGGGAACAGAGGAGTTCACACCTCTGAGTCATTGTTTCAGACAGCTGCAGACTCAGCAGCCATCGCTGCATTGGTTACACTCTGTTCACATTTTAAGGTGATCTCTGCAGCCATGGGCCCTAGATACTTTGATTGACAGGAAAGCTTAGATTTTGGAGACTCTGATTTTGACATGCGGACCACATAAATACATCACGGGGACCGTATGTTTGACACCCCTGTTTTAGAGCATGTTTATCCATTATGCATTAACCACATTAAGTACTGTAAAGAAGATTGACATTTTATTGTTTGTGTTTGTATTTTCCCTGACTTAAAGTTAACTCGGTAGTATTTTAATAGTGCATAACCTACCTGTTAATTATACCAATGCTTCTGCTTTAATGTGCATGCAATTTATTTTCCATGAAAGGAAACATTTCAAATAAGTATTGTGGACTGAGCATTTGGGGAAGTGCCAGTGCTCTATTCCTAATTGGTTTGTAGCTTTTAGGGCTTTTTCTGTTTCATTCTAAGGTTAATATTTTTCAGATGTAATGAAGCACGTTTTAATGTTATGCAACAGACTTACCACAGAGAGTCACTTTTAGTGTTGGCCACACAATTTTTTTTAATGCAGTATATTCACCTGTAAATAGATTTTGTGTAAAATTTGACAAAGTATATTTACTACACTGTAAATACATGTGACAATATATTGTATTATTTTGCTTTTTTGTAAAGCAGTTAGTTGCTGTATATGTATAACATACAAATTTGATTATTCTAGTGTTAGTAATTGTTAACTACAACTTCTCCTTCCTGCTGGTGCGTTATGTCATTTAAAGAAGAAAAAATGCTGTGTACTATAAACTTACACTGTGTATGATAACTTACTATTTCCATTTGGGCCTCAACTTTGAAAATGTTTCCTTGATTTACAATCCTGTTAATATTGTAAGCAAGTGTGCGGCAGCCGGTGAGAATCCTGCTGACTCGAACACAGTTGGTAACTTGTAGGTAAAACTGTAGAAATCATGGTTTCAAATAATTGTTGTTCACCCTATTTTCCCCTCATGTATGTACTTCCCTTTTTTTGAAGTAAAATGTAAATTCAACCTGCTTTGAGTTGTTTGGGGGTCATTGGCTGCTAGGTTTCAAGGCTGACCTTTTAATTCTCTCTTATCCTTTTCTTGTCACTCGGGGTACAGGGATTTGTTTTATTCTTTTGGAAACTAGGAGTGGGTCTGAACCAAGAACCTAATCCAAAACTCATCAAGGTCAGGAGGATTCTTCTACTAACTTCAATGGGGAAGTCCACTTTCGTGTTTAAAGCTGTTGTTGTGGATTTGTGCCTGTGAATATTGCTGAATGCTTTTTCTCCATAATTGTTTATTTCTAGATCATGGTTAAACTAATTGACCCAAATTCTGCCCTCAGTTAAGCATGGGCAACTCCCATTGACTTAAAAGATTGCTAATATCTTGTAGCAGAGTAATTTCATGTCACCTCACATCAGTCAAAATCAGTTTATCATAATTTAAATAGCTCAGTATTTCAAACCCATTTATTTTTAAATGTAAATTTAGTTTTTTAATAACTAAAGGTGGCTGCTTAGTCTTTCTAAAAAATCTTTCAGTATAATCTGTCTATTCAAGCTTATTTTAGAAGCCTGGAATTTCAGCTATGAATTAAGTATCAATTAAAGGCAACTTTTATGGCAGCAGATTAATTATAATCAAGTCTGTTTTCTTCCATGTGAAAATATTACTTTCCTGTTTAAAATGTATAAATGCTTATATTCGGCCTTCTTTCTGAATTGGTAAAAGATGTCAGAGAACATATTCACACGCTTGGTTGCTGCAAACTAAACATTGCATCATTTGACCCAAGATCAGAGAAGAATATATTTATACACTCCACCACACGTACATGCGTGTGCACACACAATATCTATAGATCTGACTTTTGTAACACAGAATGCTGCCCTCGCCCACAGTTGGGACTGCGTGAAAGTAAGCGTAGCAGTTTCTGAAGATTTTTTTGTACGGGGTTGGGTTTCCATAATTTGCTATCCAAAATAAGAGAGAGCAGTAATGCCATATTTTCCAGTCCCTTTTTAAACTAACATCCTTATTAGTCTGGTTCATTATAGACGTGTGCACTTGCTGTATTCTCCCTCTCCCACCATGCGACAGTGCAGGGCATTGCAAGCTAGCTGTGGCTAGTGATGGTGAAAATTGTGCTCTTCAGGGGCCAAAAGATAGGAGCAAGTTCTTCAAGTGGTGTCTCTGTGGGTGCTCCACTTTAGGTGTCGCTGCGCTCGTAGCTGGAGATTTAAGGTAGCAGTGCCCCGGTTGGGCCGCACATGCGCAGTCCCTGTCTCATGCCGCTTCAGGCGGTTAACTAGCGCAGTGCGACCAACACCTCGCGCCCCCTCTCCCCCGTTCCTTCTCTACCACCGTTGGCTTGACTCGGAGCACTCAGCAGTGCCTCACAGCTAGAACTAATCTTTTTCCTGTCCCTTTAGCAGTATTTCTTAATTAGAATGCAATAGACTATTTCCCTTTCCTACCTTATCCCCATTTTTAAAAAAAAATCCTCATAGGACCGTACGTTTTTCAGTTTTTCCTGATCGCAGCAGCACTACACGCTTCTCATGGAGAAATCTCTTCGCTCAGCATCTGAGCCTGAGGTACGAACCCCTCCCAGCCAGAAATCACCGACTGCCACCTTGGACAAAGGCTTCCCTGTTAGGGGAAAAGATCCTGAACAGCCTGCCAATAAGGCAGCAAAGAAACGGGACACCACGTCCCCTGCTTCAGAGTTGACCAAGAAAAAGCGCTCCAATAGCGGACAAATGCTCCCAGTATTGACCACGCCGGCCATATCATCGGCCGACAGACCAGGTCCCGACGGTACTAAGAAACCCAGAGTTCCTAAGCAGTTGAGCTCTGTCACAGGTGCTAAGGTGCCAATCTCTTTGCAGACAAGGCAGAAGATTCATTGCATACCCTGAAAGACTCAAGGGCCACCTTGCGGTCTCTGGGCATCCACACACCTAGGAACAAGAGACGGCAGACCACTTACCAAACTCCTCTATGGTTCCGACCCCCTCCATATACTCAATGGAATAGGTATTACAGCCAACAGGGGCAGAAACAGATAACTACCAGGAGAAGACAATCCGCTCCCTCGACTACTACCTCTCAGCTGTCAACCTCTAGACAACAGATTTGAAGCCTTGGTCGAGGGCTCGAGAATCCCATTTCTCTCACTGCTGGCACCATCTGTCAGTGGCAAAATTTTTGGAGATTGCCTACTTCTCCATTCTACCCCATCTGGCAGTCCATCACCACAGACAGATGGGTATTAGAAATCATCAAAACCAGTTACTCCATTCCCCTACCCACCCACCCCTTCCCCATCCCTCTTCAGGGACCCCTCTCATGACCATCTACTGCGGGAAGAAGAGGTGAACCATCTCCTATCCCTGGGAGCAGTAGAACCTGTACCGACCCAAGTACAGAGCGAAGGGCTTCTATTCCCACTATTCTCTCACACAGAAAAACACAGGACGTTGGAGACCTATTCTTGATCTACAGCAACTCAACAAGTTTGTAAAAACACAAAGATTCAAAATGGTCACACTAGGCACCATAATCCCAGAATTAGAGAGGGGGGACTAGTTCTCAGACCTCTACCTACAGGACGCATATTTTCATATCTGTCCATCCCTCCCATCAGAAATTCCTGCGCTTCATAATAGCACAGGACCACTTTCAGTACATAGTTCTACCCTTCGGCCTTTCCACTGCTCCGTGGGTATTTTCCAAAGTACTTGCCATAGTAGCAGCCTACCTAGAGGGAATAATGATATTCCCGTACTTGGATGACTGCCTGCTGAAAGCACCAACACTTCAGGCAGCCATAGATTCCACCCAATGTATGATATACCTCTTTAAATCCTTAGGACTTCAAATAAACATACAAAAGTCCACCCTAACACCTGTCCAACGCCTGGAATTCATTGGAGCGGATGTCAACTCCCTCCAAGCAACTGCCTCCCTTCCAACAAAACACTTTCTGACTCTAACCGCCTTAATCTTAATAGCGTGGAACAGCCCACAGGTGTCTGCCAGAGCTTACCTGCAACTCCTAGGCCACATGACCACCACAACCTTTGTCGTCCAACATGCAAGGCTACACATGTGGTGCCTTCAAGCCTGGTTACATACAAATTATGCTCCCCACAGCCATAGCATAAACAAATTCCTCACCATGCCGAATGCAGTCAAGGACTCCCTGCTGTGGTGGACCAATCCGGACAATATTTGCAGGGGTGTGCCATTTCTGCAGAATCCACCAGCGCTCGCCATCACCACGGACGCTT